CGGAAGCACTGGACAGCTGTTTCGACCTGGTTGGACCTCATCAGCGGGGCGAAAGAGATGAGACCCAACCAGGTCGAAACAGCTGTCCAGTGCTTCCGAGATTTTCAGTTCACGCTTCATTTGCTATATACACGACGAATTTCCATTTGAAATTTAACCAAATCCTCCATTACTCACATGAAACTTCATTTAATCTCATCAATCGCTGACGGAAAACAGGCCCTATAAAAATGAACAGGTTCGTTCCTTAGGACTCACCAGCCCAATGTGATAACTGTGTGTTTATTATTTTGCTTCAGTGATTGAAGAGAAAGCGAAATTCAAACATCTCGCAATATGTCTTCTTTCGGTCTTGAGGCAGTGAAGTGTTTCAAATTCCTAAAGCCGATTGAATGGTCTGGTGATTTTACACAACAAATACTATAATCATAACGTTTCTACTTACCTAAGTGTAAGTAGTCAAATGGTGTTCGTTGATAATCATTTTGAAGTGCGACCAGAGGGAACAGAATACATTTTCAAAAAGGAAGGAGATGGTGAAAATAAACGTATGCTGATCTGAGACTCCTGTACGACATTATGGAATTTAACACCATTACCAGTATGACAGTTCTTATCAGCCGAGAGTAGAGATTCCCTGAAAACCGTCATGTTTAGTCATTAAATTGTATTAATTTCCAACTGTGTAGGTCCCGAAATATAAACCAATGAGTTGCGCGTTTGATTTTATGCTGATTGTCATAACTTAGTCCTATTTCTTAGTTTGAGAAAATACCGCAAATTGTACACTTGTATTCAGACATCTGGTTCCTTTTCGAGACGCACTGTTCTCGCTTGGCTGGTCGTGGCCTGAACCTAATACATTTATTCGCGCGTCAGACGATTTCCTCAATCTGATCGCCTCATATGAACAAGGATCCTCATCCAAGCACCGTCGATGGACACCCTCAGCCTCTTCAGAACCCGGTGTTCTGGACGACTCCGTGGCTGAGCTTAATTTGGATGAGGACACCGATACAGGTGAGACGAGCACGGCGACCTCCACCGCTGCTATCGGTCAAGCCGCGTCAGAATGGTCCGAGGTGCCTCCGGCTGATATTGTCCGAGCGAAGACAGACGCGATTATCGGTAAGTGAAAGTTGTACTAGAAACGATCATGTTGCGATGAGTTTTGGGTGTGAACTGCCGAGGAACAACTGTATACCCGGGTGAATCAGTTTAAGTGGTGTTCAATGAATTAAAAGCCACAGCAGATCAGCAGATTGTGTTATTTATGTGGGCCGCAATAATCAACCTGATTTTCCAGGTTTCGTTCTCTCAGTGTATGTAACTTAAATAAGGATAATAATTCCAGATGCTTCAAATGAGTTTTCCAAATAGGTCAGCCTCTGTTTGCTCTCAGGTTTGGTTGGGTACATCCAAAGACAACGCGGTGTAGCATATTGCCGAAGATCATCAGCTGGGATGACTAAAGTGATTAGTGCCTCATAGTAGCCATCTCCGCAATCAGATATTGGAATGCCAATGGATTCAGTGTTTGTCCGTTCGTGGTGCACTCATTTATGTGAAGAATGAAACATTTGTACAGTGTTTCCAACACTTTCAAGCACGTGTGTGTGTGTGTCCCGATGGCCTTATTAGGAAAATCTACTCCTGATGAACCTTGTATATGATCTGCAGACAAACGTGCGAAGTTTGTCACGAGGACTAACGTGTGATTATTTAAAGATGTCTTTCCGTGTATTTAGATTTTTTCACAGCTACCTGTAGTTCAATTTTCTAACTATACACGTTAGTGTGGTGAATGTTAAAGTGGTCAACCGCCCACGATCACTGAGGCTCACTTCCCCGTTATAAAACCGATTAGTTAGGATCTAAAACTTGGAGTCGGGAACTATATAAGACTCCGTTCCAATAAGTGTGGAATTGAACCAGATGATGGCTAAACCTTCTACTGTTAAGGTTGTGTGGTGTAATGGTGTTGGGATTCGATCCTCAAACTTTGGGACCAAGTTGACACGACTCATAGAAGAAGAAGAAGAACACAATAATCGCATTCAAGAGCATGTTAATCTCATGGGAGATTCTTCGTAACTTTCCAGCTTGTATCTAATTTGTTTTGTTATTCGCTTACATTTGACTAGGCTTGTCAAACGCATCTGGGCTTTCCGGGGATATTGGACCATTTGTGGAAGCCCCAATGGCAGCTCTCATGCCAGCACAATCGGAGAGTTTCTGCAGTCCAGTCATGAACGGAATCAATCAAGCGACTGATTTCAATGGGACGCGAATGGATCAATTGAAACATCTGTTCCGACGTCGCAAACCCCAGTGGGACAGTTTGCAGAGTCCAATGGGTGTCACTTCAGAAGATTGGCTCAAATATACTAATTGGGCTCGAGAATCAATTCAACAGCGCATGCTAGCCTGTAATCGTTGGCGTCTCGTGTTTGACGCTATCTATCCCAGCGCTGCTCAAATGGCCCAATTTGAACTGAGCTGGAATAGGGTTACCGGGAAAGCGAAAGCGACCGATTCACTTGAAGATGAATCTCCTTTAAATCAAGATATGACAGACGGGAAAACGAGGCCAGATGTGGCTGTGAGTCACGAACGGTTCAAGTATTTTGTCAGTCACAACCCGACCACATTGAATGTAAGGCAGAGACAAGGCGAGCGAACCGCTCAGGCGATTCACTCCGCGGTCACGAAGTTAGATATTGATGTCGAACTGGATTTGGACGAAGCCGAAGAACCGACTGATATCAGTCGTGATCTGTACAAATCACCCTATTCCCCAGTCAGATTGAAACAACCGAACGGTGAGGCCTTAGCCAACGGAGATAGAGACTATTCTTCAGAATCTGCCCCAATAATGCACTCCTCTTCGCCCGATAATCCGAATGGCAACAGGGTCGGGTATGATGGAGCTGTTGGAGATCAGTGTGTAGGAGAAGGTTTAAGGCACAAAAACAGATCTTGTTCGTCCTATTCCGAAGAGGCGGATTCCACCGATTCCGGATGTCTAGTCACTGAGGCGAGGTTCACTCGGGAACCTCACTCTGGTCTAGCCTGCGTACCCATTAGTGTCAGCGAACGCAATTTGGCTTCCGCGAAACTTTCTAGTCCCGGTATGTCCAACTCATCGGCTGTGAAATCTTG